ATGAATATGGAACCTGCTAACAGTAGGTTATAGCAGCAAACAATTCTCTTGTTCCATAAAAGAAGGATTTAGGTCATCATGTTCAAATCTGCAAAATGTAAATTGAACATCAACTTCAATTAGAATCATACAGTAAAACAAAAATTATTTTTATCAATCACACCTCAGCAGACTCAACAGTAATCAAGTGGAAAACAACAGAACTCCTAGCATCTGCAGATAAAGACAAACCCATATAGTAAAAGCGCTGGCATAACACCAGGGAGTTACAATACAGAGATATCCAAGAGGCCCCACAGGGAATAAGCTCAGTCCAGCAGCTCCCAGGTCAGGGCTAGCTCTGATATGCTCCTGAACAAACTAATGAGTTATAGCTGCCCTGCACTGTAGTCCAGACAGGCTCCCAGGCTGTCACTCAAGAGCAGGAAAGCTGTTACCTGACCAGAGGCAATTCAGGTATCAATGCAGCCACAATAGTAATGTGCACTTCAGCATGATGAGACAAGGGGAATTTCAATGTATCCATGGTATGTTTTACCTATAAATCAAGTAATCCACTCATATATAGCAACTCATATATAGCAACCATTTAAGTACTAATTTTCATTTAGTTTGTAACTGAAGGTGTAAAAGTCATTGGAATGGACACTGAAAAGAGCAGAGGTTACCCCCAAGAATTAAAAGTTAATTATTCCATGTTAATCTTTCTTATTGCAGATATATACGCCTCTTCTCTTTTTCACAACACTTAACTATACCCCTGACTGCTGCTTCTATTTCAAAAAGGTACTTCTACACATTTTTTTTAATTTCAGCCTCTGTAGTAAGTTTAGCAGCAGTCAAGTCTTATGCATTTCTCAAGATGTGTATTCAAACTTCACTACATCCTAAAGAACTGCAAGACTGCAGCACCACAGTTTTGCCAAGAACACACAGGTGGTCGCTGTTGTCTAGATGAGTTATTGGAGGTCCTCCAGGAATTTGGTTTTGTTTGCTTCATTATTTAAAAAACAAATAGGACTCCACACCAGAAATGCCTACTAGACAACTTTTTAGAAACCTCCATTTCACCGCCTACCATCACCTCAACCTCCTAGTCCTCTGAGCAGTAAAAATCTGCTGCTTCCAGTTTGGTTGCCTGTCCTATCTTCTTATGGTATTAGGTTAGTTGATTTACCAAACTTAACTGTAAGCAGTGGTAGGTTCAGGAAACGATGTAAGGGATTAAAGCAGCTCATGAAAGTGGGGAATTCTTAGTTAAGCTGTGGGAGATGAAACTACTTCAGAAGTAATAGTTATTGAAGCCTCTCCTGCAAATCTAAGTTTATCTTGCAAAATAACTTTATGCCTAGTGAATAAAAAAATTGTACTTGGCCTCAGAAATCTACTGTTGACTGGAAATGCTATGTGCACATGCTGATAGAGAAGTCCTCTCTAAGCAACTGCACAGTTTACCTAATTCCACTGGGGAGGAAGGCTAAAGAAAAGGAAAAATAGCAAACACCATAATGTTAAGAAAATCTGTAGGCTTAATATAACTTGCTTTTCTTCTAACTAGTACTTTTTAACCCACTCCCTACCTTGAGGGAGATAAATTTCTTTCAGCTGCGTGGGTCCTCCTCACCCATTAAACTGCACATTTGATTCAGCTGTTCCCATGGAAGTTTCTGCTTTCTTGAGGAATTTGAAAAATTTGAGTGGATGTACGTGGGAAGAGTGCAGAATTCCATCAATCCCTTGGATTCCTGTAGGCATCTCTGAAGCCAACATATGCTGGCTAGGTTAAAAAGGAAAACATCAAAGAAAGCAAACAGTAAAAAGTACTTTTTAATCTAGTTATCATAAAAATAGCTGACATTGTACTTAACTGCTGGCATAACAGTAGATACAGTATTTCCTGAGAAATTTACATTTACTATAAAGAAAAAGTTGACAGTGTTGCAAGTTGAGAAATGTAGGTGCTAATATGATGTTTCTTAAAAAAACAAAAAGAAGTCTTAAAGACTATTCAAACTAGAAAAATAATCTTTCATATTTTCATGAAATAGAAGCCACCAGTATCTTCCAAATGCAGACTGGCAACACTGAGATCTCTTTTGCTAAGCAACAAAGCAGTATCACTTAGCACTGCCTGTTTCATTGCCACCCCTCAGAACTACTCTTTCTATGAAGAGTTTTTTCCTGAAGAAAGTACCTTCAGGAGAATGCAAGATCCCTATGCAGAAAAACACATAACGCAAATGGAGACCCTCGCTTATGTTTCTGTATCCTTTCTTTGTCCAGGAACTGTTGAAGGGGCTGAAACATTCTCTTTCTTCTTGGTACTTAATAGCCAAACCTCAGATAAAAAAAATAAAAAAGAGATACTTATGATTCCAAAGACACAACCTCTACAGCTTATTACACACAAGTGAAGAAAAGTCCTGTCTGATTAAGAGAGTTCAACTCCTACAGTCCTACTGATAACATCCATTTATTATTATTTTTAAATTACCCAGGGTCACCTAGTTAGCATTTCAAGCACTGCCATTCAGCTATGAAACAAAATCAGAGGTCAAATCTTTCATGTGGTAATTAGGGGCAAAACTGCAAGATTATAGTTAAAGGCTGTATTGTTTCCAAACAAATAATGAGGAAATAAGACTAGAACAAGAAACAAAACAAATGAGAAGTTGGGAAACAAAAGTTTCAGGAAGACGGACACGGAAGAATTTTATGAAGATGCAGACTGTAAGATGTATGACTGCCTCCCCCATTACAGGGAGAGGAAATTTCTGCCACTGCAAAGTTTATGTAAGTAAAATTCCTGAGCATTAAATCATACTTAGGGCAGGAAAGCAGCAGGGAGCAGAAGCCATATAACTGATAAGGAAGAAAGCCAGAAAGAACATACTGCACAGAACAGATACTTTCCTGAGAACTCTAACTACCAAAACATGATTTGCCTTCACATATTTCATTAATCTCAGAACTGAGAATGTGAAGTTCCAGCTGAGGCTTCTCCTACACGCAGATGATTTATGGGAGTTCTTTTACCCTTCCTCAACATATATTTCCTGTTGTACAGTAAAACATAAACTCACTCTTGTACTCTTTTCTTCCCTGAAGGCACCCCCTCTGCTTCGTTTACCTTCCCAAACACACCTACCTGCACCTCTGTAAAACTTACAAAAAAAAGACAAAAAATATTTACAAACCACTAGGAAGGATAAGGATCAGTCAAAACTTGCTTATATAAGCTTTTTTTCTACAGGAACCGAGCCTAAGAGTTTACTAGCCCACAGTCTGTCAAGGAAACAAAAAGGACTGAAAGCATTTGACTTCTTGTAGGTTGTTTAACAACTGAAGTCACAATGCATACTTGCAAGTGGGAGGAAAGTGTGAATAAGATTAGGTCACAAATCAACAGAAAACACCCAGAGTTTATTAAATTTCTACATCAGAAGCAGTTCTACAATGTAAGAGTACTTAAGGATTGCAGGCTCCTTTTACACTAACCATCTAACCCCAGTGAGGATCTCTCTTTTAAGGATTTCTGCCTCATTAGTGCAGTTAGATGATAGCCTTCAGCTCTTTACTACAGCAGCATCCAGGCTGGCTCAAGCCTCTTTCAGTAGCAGATGGAACCAAGTACCAGACACAGCACTGAAGTAGATGGAGAGTGATCACATAAATCCATTTGCTACACCAGTTGCAGTGCCACTCGGGAAGAATGGGAATACAATAAAAACCTTTCTAATTAGTACTGTGGTGAACTTGTAGATATAAACTGAACCAAGACCATTACTGCCAAAGCTTTAAAGCTTTTGCCTCAGCTAAACATACACAAGGAACCATTAATTACTAGTGTGCGGTGAATTTTCTAGACATGGAAATCCTTCAAAAGCTGTAGAGAAAATCCAAATATGCTGCTGACACACTCTGCAAGTCCCTAAATCTGAGAAGATATTAGACATACCAATGTATTACTCAACTTTATTACATACACACGGGTACACGACCTTAAGCAAACAGCCGAAGTGGGATAATTACATTATTCCCAGTTATTTCCTCTAGAACTTTATAGGCAGAGCATGTGAGTGCACAGCCACTTTGATGCAAAGTCCAGAAGCTTAGCTGGAACAGTCAAGAGAAGACTATTCAGGCTAAGCTGTTGGACTTCGGACCAAAGCAGCTGGAAGTACTTGCACACTTTTCTTTTTGCCAGGAGCGCTAAAAGTTTGAAAGTTGACAACTGGAGTGGAACGAACTTAAATCATTATGGCAAGTTGTGTCAGCATGTGTCAAGCTCTCAAAGACAATCATTAACTTGTTCGGAGATCTAAATAATTACAGGTAAACTAGATGTACACCTCTGCTCTGATGTAACAGTTCCCAGACCATATTCCTCAATAGTAAGGATTCACTGAAGCAGAATGTTGCCCTTACGTACTTTTCCCACCAAACCTCAGTGACGACAGAAGGCAAATGAGGACAGAATGCAGCTTTCAAATCCTTCCATGTACCTGAGAACTGTTCAGCCATCACACAGGTGTCTGCCGTGCCCGCAGCACTCGCCCTAACCAGGTATCACCACACTTCCCAGGTTAATGAAGTAAGCCTCAGCACACCCGGTAGCTTAGCATCATCCTATTAAGGATGAGCCCTGATGCACATAGTGGAAGGATAACCAGACCGAAGCCACAAATCCACACAAGATCAGCGAGGCAGGACCGGGATCTTGGCTGTCAGTCCATTAAGTTTCACGTAGTGACACAGAATAACTCCAGCGGCAGGCTCGAGGGGCGGCCGGGGGCAGGAGAGAAGGAGGAAGCCGAGGGAGCGAGAGGCCCCCAGGAGGGGGCGGGGGCCCTGAGCTCCGCATGGAGCTCAGAGAGCGGCGGTGCTCGCCCAGGCCGCGGCTCCGCCGCCCCGGCCCCATCCCGGGGGCTGCGCGCACATCCCTCCCTCCTCCGCCCGCGGCGCCGCCTCGCCCGCCCCGCGCCGCCGCCTCCTCCTACCTTGGCCACGTAGTCCTTCACCTCATCCAAGTCTCCGTTTTTCAGGGCCCACATGAACTCCTTGTCGGACATCGCGGCCGCCGGGCGGGGGAACGCGGGCGGGCGAGGCGCCGAGGGGCCGGCGGCAGCTGCCGGGAGCGCGGGCGGCGGCGCGGGCGGCGGGAGCCCCTCCCCGGCTGCCGGGCGGGGCGGGGCGGGGCCGGGCTCGGGGCAGCGCGGGAAGGCGCGCGGGGCGGGGCCGGGCCGGGCACGAGGCAGCGCGGGCGGTCCCGCCGGGGCGAGGAGCGGCTTCACTCGCGCGCGGCCGCGCTTCCGCTTCCGGTTCCCGTGTCCGGCCCCAGTGCCCGGCCCCCGCGACGCCCACGCGGGACGGAGGCACACGGGGCGCGAGGCGCATGCGCGCGCCGCCGGAGTCCCCGCGTTCCCCAGGTACCGCGGGGGGGTAAGGGAGGACTGCGCATGCGCCCTGAGCTCCGCCGCCCCGCCCGGGCCCCGCGGTTGCCATGGAGACGCGGCCTATGGCGGACTCGCCACCAGCCAGCCGTGCCGAGCTCAGCCGGACACGGCCGGGACGCGGGGTCCGACCTAGGAGTCTGTTCCCGTTGAGGGAACCACGTGTCTGAATAGCTGTTCTGCAAACCCCGAGGCTCAGAGCTGCGGATAATTATCATAATGCTTCCAAAGCAGCAGCGGGGAGACATGAAAGAAAGGACGTGGTGGTTAATTAATATGTTGGCACTCAGCGGTTGCATCTGTTTCCCAAAGCCACATGTTTTGCGTATGGAACATGCAGCCTGCTGTGTGTCTCAGGCTTGTCTGCCAGCAGGCAGCCGCTCTTCCTAATCCCCCATGGCAAACAGCATCCCAAACACCCTTGGAGCTGGAGCTGCTCTGCAGTGACTGTAGCCAGTCTGAATCACAGAATAATTTGGTTGGAAAACCAAATCTGAGATCATCTGAGCTCATCCAGTCTGACCTGTGACCCAGCGCCACCATGCCTGCCACATCACAGCACTGAGTGCCTCATCCAGTCTTGAACACCTCCAGGTGACTGGGGGCAGTATGAAAATGAACAGATTAGGAAGAATTTCCTTCCTGTGAGGGTCGTGAGGCACTGGAACAGGTTGCCCAAGGAAGTTAACAGATGCCCCACCCCTAGAAGTGTCAAGACCAAACTGGACGGGGCTTGAAGCAATGTGGTGGTCTAATGTAAATTGTCCCTCGTCATGGCACAGGGATTGGAGCTACCTACATCTTTAAGGTCCTTCCCAAACCATTCTATGATTCTGTGAACCTATCATCCTATGATAATGAGTTAAAGTGTAGGAAGACTGCTAGATCAACAAACTGTGCCTTTTCTAGTCCAGTTATTCCCTTCGAGATAAAATACAACTTTCTGCTTACTGGCTAAATTCTGTTTGGAAGTCCTATATTATTGCTAAAGTGTCCCAGTCTGTTTCAATAAATAAATTGGAATTCATTGCTCCAGTGAGTTATACACTGTTGGTATTCTATAAGATATGAATCATACAGTACACAAACAGTCCAGAATAAAAGATAATCTAATTAATTCAGCTATCTAATAAAAAAAGCAAACCAACAAAACCCAAAGAACAAACACAACATAAAAATCCAAGAGACTTGAATACATACTGGTTCCACTGCAGGTTTTATTTAAAAACACAAATTTGATCTCCTACTTGCTATATTCCCTTTGTGTAATCCTGAACAATTCATACACAACAGCTGTTAGTTCAGACAACAGCCAAACAATAATATAAAGTACCATCATATAGGACTCACTCTATTGAGGAGAAAATAATAAAGGTGATATATAGCAGTCTAGAAAAAGTTATGGAACTAACACAAGAGATCTGGGAGTGACAGGTGAAAATTGGACAATTGATTTTCTTTCTGTTTATGAGTTTGTTGTATTTATACTGAAGGAGGATAGATTGGAAAGGAAAAGGAAAGAAGAGTTATTTTGTTCTTTCCCAAGGTCAAGCGAGGTGTGCAGACAGGGAAACCCAAAAATTATTGACTGTATTCATTGTTGGACTTGAAGCAGGAGGGGAAGCAAAGTCAGACGCACACTGCCAGTTCTTTGGTACTTGCTCATGAATCCCAATAAGGCTGGACCTCGCAAAGTCACCTGTGGGTCAGCCTTTGGTGCTAAGGTTGTCATTCTGTGGAAATGCCTTTTCCTTGGACACTATGTAGTAAACACAATTAGCAATTTCTAAACAAAGGTCTGGCTCTGAAAATTGAGCCAAAGAATGATTCAGTGTTGACAAATACTCTCAGCCAAATCAGAAGGTGAATAATGGTTTGGAAGTTTGACCTGCTAACTACGTAAGCAGGCTGGACTTGTTTACACAGAGTACAAATCTCCTTTTGGCTGTAGGTTTCCTTTCTTTCATTATTATAGTTTTCATTGATTATTTCACATCTAAATACCTTCTTTTATTTACAAGAGTGTGCATGTATGTCACTGTTACATTATTTTATTCTTCATGACTAAAGCAAACTTCACATAAGACAAGTTACCTTTTATTTCTATAACTTTTCTCTCTGTTCAGGAGCAGGTCATACGAAATGGAAGTTCAAGGAATTAACTTTTGATAATCTCTGTTATTTCTTTAAATCAAAGTTATAAAATTCTAAAAACAATGAATAATTTAGATTGGAAAGGACCTCTGGAGGATATACCTGATCTAATCCCTGATCAAAGCAGGGCTAATTTGGATGAGGCTGCTCAGGGCAGCCAGTCAAGTTCCGAACATCTCAAAGTATGATGAAACCACAACTTTTTCTGGCAGTTAATTCTGATGTTTGACTGCTTTCACAAAACAAACAAAAAGTCCTTCTTTCTAATCAAAATTTCACTGCTGTAACTTTTTATTTGTTACTTTATACCTCTTCAAGAATGTTTGGCTCTCTCTTCTCTTTGTATTCTCATGAGATAGGTGAAGATAGCAGTAAGATCTCACTACCTTAGCCTTGTCATCTCAGGGCTGAACAAGCCAATTCATTTGAGCTTTTTGTCATATGTCAATTGTTTAAGTCAGCTTATCATCTTGGTTATCTTCCAATGGACTCAATCCAGTATGTCCCTGTCTTTTTTACCCTGGGAAGTTCAAGCCCGGAACTTCACTCCATCTGTGGCTTCACAAGGGATGAGTAAAAAGGGTGTCCTGATTTTCCTTTGGACGCTGGAATTGCCTTCAAGAAAACCTTTGCAGTGAAGGGTTAAGCATCAGGGTATTTAATTGTGCCACACTGGAAGTGAGAAGAACTTTGCCCAAAGCTTTGCTGATGGGGACAGAGGCTGAATAGGTTGCAGTTTGGTTTTTTTTTTTCCCACAGCAGCTCAGGCTTTGCAGTGCTGACAAAGGAGAAATCTTCTCCTAGTAAGCAAGAGCTGAATGCATTAGGGGCTGATACTAACGAAGAGGAAATGTAACAACATAATTTCCCTCACAGTACTCATTGTTAATGCAATAAACAACTGACTACTAAAAGTGATACCAATGGGATTTTTTAGCTAAATGAAAATAAATTATTAGTATTAGTATTAGTATTAGTATTAGTATTAGTATTAGTATTAGTATTACATTTTCTCAGCTGCCTAGAGTAATACCGTGACTTTCTAGAATTTTACAAGCACTTAGAAAACTGAAAATTCCCAGCTCTTTATGGAAGAATTGGATATCAAAATTCTGGCTTTTGTGGAAATGATAGCCATTTAGAAATGGCTAAATAAATAGAATATATATTTAGAAATAGCCATTTAGAAAAAAAAAATTACACTTACACTTGTAGTGTTAGGCTAATTCAGAAAAGGTGTTTGTGTGAAAGTTGCATTTGGAAAACGAGCATAAATATGTCTAATTTATATGTTGGGTGAAAGAAGGACTGGAAATGTTGGCTAAAACCAGAAGTAGGACAAACAAGCAAGAAAATATCAAAAAGTTTTAAGGAAGCTGCCTCAGGATCTCTTGCTTGCTAGATCTGCAATTTTCCACTCATGGACTACGTACTTCATCATGTGTTAGGGTTTTCTTACCCTTTATGGGAATTTCCTGAAACCCCTTTTTTCATGGTGGCAAGATTATGCAAGTGGGAGAAACATTGACTGCTGGCTTCCAAATCCTGCTATTTTTGAAAGAGTTTAATATTTTAGGTGTATTAAGCACTGTCTGAAACTCTACTGTGTGTTTAGTGTGCATGTATACTGTAAGGTATCATTGTTCTAGAAAATACAGAGGTTTCTATTACAAGATATGGAAAAAATCTGCTTTAATCAAACCAACAGTTTTCAAGTTCAGAATGTCCAAATTAATCATACAGATTATAGACAGTGGATTTAATTTTTGAGCATTTGAAAACAGTGATGAAAAATTTATGCTCATAGTCTACTCAGTATCATAATCAAATGGGGACCACTGAGGGTTGCACCCTGACATGTACATTTTCAGAGCAGTATGGTCCTGGCTTTGTGTAGGTGGGTCGCAGCTATACTGGTTGTCCTATACGCATCAGAAGACAAATAAAGCCAAACCAAACCAATCCTAAAATTCACCAACCAACTAAAATATTTTAAAAATTCCCCCAAACCACACAAACGCCTTCATTCAGTTGAGTATGTATGTGCTAATTTATGTAGTCTATTACTTTGAGAAATATTTTGAATATATATATATGTATAAGCCAAGTATCTCCTTATAACTATAAGGGCAAAGACAGCAAATTCCTTATTTTCTTGGGTTTTGCCTTACTCACCTGTGGTATTTAACAAACAAGCAAAAACAGTCACACAGTGGCACAGGGAGACTTCGTTGTCCCAATGATCATTTTCTATGCCTTCATTTTCCTATCCATAATCCAATACTTTTCTACAATTGTGGCGAGCCTTGAGAATCTCAGATGAAGAATGTTATATCAGTAAAAAATATTGCAAATATTGATGTGTTTTTTCCTGGAAATCATATGCTGATATGCAGAATATACAAGTGTAAGGAATCAGTTATGGTTGTTATTACTTCCCTTTGGAGAAGAACTGGAAAAGAAAAATTAGTTAGGATACTTCATTGACAAGTAGATTTATTCACAAATTGGAACATATCCTGTTTTTTGAGACTCTTTGTTTCAAAAAAAAAAAATAAAAAATGTTCAGAAACAGATTCAAGAAAGACCATAGCCACACTACAAATTCTTTTTTGTAGTACAGCACTGAAAAAGTTGTTTTCTACATTAATGAAAATGCTCTTATTTCACAGGAACTAACCATATTCTTATGTCATTCATACTTCAGTCATTTCTCCAGTTGCTGCTTTCTGTAAAAATCAGACAGGTTATATAAACTAACCAACCTTCCTTCCTTCCTTCCTTCCTTCCGCCTCTTCCTTCCTTCCGCCACTTCCGCCACTTCCTTCCGCCCCTTCCGCCACTTCCTTCCGCCCCTTCCGCCACTTCCTTCCGCCCCTTCCGCCACTTCCTTCCGCCCCTTCCGCCACTTCCTTCCGCCCCTTCCGCCACTTCCTTCCGCCCCTTCCGCCACTTCCTTCCGCCCCTTCCGCCACTTCCTTCCGCCCCTTCCGCCACTTCCTTCCGCCCCTTCCGCCACTTCCTTCCGCCCCTTCCGCCACTTCCTTCCGCCCCTTCCGCCACTTCCTTCCGCCCCTTCCGCCACTTCCTTCCGCCCCTTCCGCCACTTCCTTCCGCCCCTTCCGCCACTTCCTTCCGCCCCTTCCGCCACTTCCTTCCGCCCCTTCCGCCACTTCCTTCCGCCCCTTCCGCCACTTCCTTCCGCCCCTTCCGCCACTTCCTTCCGCCCCTTCCGCCACTTCCTTCCGCCCCTTCCGCCACTTCCTTCCGCCCCTTCCGCCACTTCCTTCCGCCCCTTCCGCCACTTCCTTCCGCCCCTTCCGCCACTTCCTTCCGCCCCTTCCGCCACTTCCTTCCGCCCCTTCCGCCACTTCCTTCCGCCCCTTCCGCCACTTCCTTCCGCCCCTTCCGCCACTTCCTTCCGCCCCTTCCGCCACTTCCTTCCGCCCCTTCCGCCACTTCCTTCCGCCCCTTCCGCCACTTCCTTCCGCCCCTTCCGCCACTTCCTTCCGCCCCTTCCGCCACTTCCTTCCGCCCCTTCCGCCACTTCCTTCCGCCCCTTCCGCCACTTCCTTCCGCCCCTTCCGCCACTTCCTTCCGCCCCTTCCGCCACTTCCTTCCGCCCCTTCCGCCACTTCCTTCCGCCCCTTCCGCCACTTCCTTCCGCCCCTTCCGCCACTTCCTTCCGCCCCTTCCGCCACTTCCTTCCGCCCCTTCCGCCACTTCCTTCCGCCCCTTCCGCCACTTCCTTCCGCCCCTTCCGCCACTTCCTTCCGCCCCTTCCTTCCTTCCTTCCCTCCCTTCCTTCCCTCCCTTGCCTTCTCTCTTTCCATATTTTTCTCTTTCTCTTGTCCATTTCCCATTTAGTACATGGGCTATCCCTTTATATTAGCAGAGGCAGAACTGTGGTGATGCTCTTATCATAATCTATTTATGTAAGAGTTTGTGCTTTCTTTTGCAGAAGGGAATATCTTCCTTGAATGGGTGTATATTTCATCTTGCTACATTGGTTGTATGGATTATGAAACATTTTGCTCTCAGTTTGGAGTGGATCTTCAGTACAGTGCGGTCTGGAGCAATGTTGTTTTGCAATACTGCCCCTTCTATTCTCCCAAGGAATGTTTTTGCTGCATTCTCCACGGTCCTAGCAGGCAGTGGAAGGACTAAATGCAATTCTAAATTGAATGGCTTAAAATTTTATCTTTCATCTTAATAGCGCAGTTACTGAAGGCCCCAGCAAACCTGTAACATTCATTATTCCAGCACAGTATGTGGGAATACTGCAGAAGTGTCTCAAGAGAAGAGCTGAGTAATGCTCAGTGTGTTCTGTCAGGTTGCTCCTGTTGTGTGTACAGCACACTCCAGAAGCACAGCTGCTGATGTTTGTAGGCATGGGCACAGTGACAGGGTACAGCCATCACCGCTGTTAACAGACTGCAGCTCTCCATCACCGTGTGCCCTTTACACAAAAACATCTGCACTGCTCTTTCTCGTCCTAGGCGATGCCTGGCTGGAGCAGTGGAGCCAGCTCAGGTGCCTCTGCACTGTGCTATCTCATGCCCCCCAAAGTGCCTGCAGTACCCTTAGGAATGGAAAGGCTGGCTATGGTAGCCCCTCCTGACTCTCACGGTTTATTTGTACTTTCAGTTAACCAACCATGTGCTAATAGGTACTTCTGATTATTTCCTTAGCAGATTAATGAGGTTAAAAAGTCTCAACTTGAAAAAGGAGAGGGAGTATCCTATGCCCAGAATATTTCTGCAGCTACAGAAAATAAAGCTTTGTGCTCATCCCCCATGAATTGGCAGAGCCAGTTTTTATCCATGCTTTGCTCCATCCAGTCAATATGCTCGGGAGCTCTGTCACTATCCTTGTGAAGGCATCTACTCTGTCTCTGCCAGAGGGGATTGAGTATAGGAGCAATGTGTTAATACAGCCTCTCTGGAAAAACCAACACATGCTGTGCATGCCTCATCCCATATCTGTTCCCTCTTTCTGGCATGGTTTTCCTTATCTTGCAGAATTACTAATGGCACCTGATTGGGTATTTACACTGTTTTCTCACAGATCCCATCTGAAAGGCAATTGCAGATTACATTATGTACATGGTAACAATACAGCCTATGCACAGAGATGAGGCATTTATTTCTCTATCCACTGGGTGTTACTCTCCAACTTCCAGCAGCTATGCAATGTGAAATTCAGGACTTGCAGTGGAGGTGAAACACAAAGAAGAGAAAAACAATGACTTTTCCTATGTCTGTGTATTTCCTTGTCCCTCTGCTCCATGGAAACTGATGAACAATTGTCCCTCCTTCATTTGGTTGGGGTTTTTTGTTTGTTTGTTTGGGCTTTTCTCTGAGGGGTGCTTTTTTATTTTAATCTAAGGAAACTGAAGTATACATGCATTTTGGCTATGAATATGGTTTAGGAGTATTAAAACAGTGATGCCACATACATATAATGTATGGGGACACAGGAACCAGAGCAGTCTTCAGTAGCACTTTTCAGTTTGCCTCTGTAGACCCTGTTCATAATGCTAAGAGGCAAATGAAGTCACTATGAGCCAGAAAACTTGTTTCAGAAAGAAGTTTACACTGTTACAGGCAGCAATTAGACATTAATTTTTGTCTGTCTATTCAGATATAAATTCGAACAGAAGGGTTCCCAGCTTTTCCAGCTTTGTGTAATGTCGGTTCTGACACTGAAGCAGCCAAGAAGAAGATGTAAGACTTACTTTTGATATCTGTTAAAGATGACATGAGCTGACAGAAATCAGTAAGTATTAAAAGATCAGCAGATTCTGTTTTAATGAGTAACACATGTTTGCATGTTTTCCCTTTTTTATTTCCCATAGTATTGTGGCAAGTAGGTATAAATTTTTGTGTTTCTGTTTTTGTTTAATACCATTTAATACCATTTTGTTTAATACCATTTTGTTTTATACCATTTAATACCATTAATACCATTATTAATACCATTAATACCTTACACACTTCAGACAGCTATCTCACAGTCTAGCAGATGGCAAGTACCTATACAGATTTTACCTAACTTAAAATAAGTGATATTTTTGCTGGATGTGCTATTTTTGACAGAGCTATCAGAGACAGGTATCACTAAATATAGATTTACAGATCTATACTGAATCAGGAATGTAGGAGATACAGTTAGGTGTGAAGCTTAGTAAATGTTACTGAGTTTTCAATCATTTCTTCTGTTCCCTGAGGGTATGGTAGCTGATAAAATAAATATGGCTATTTGCAAGTGAGTAAACAAACCAAAGCTATTGTAGCCTTCTTTTTGATAACTCAGCCTATTTTAATGTCAGTGTTGGTGGAATTATTTTAAGTGCTTCCTGGGAAATAAGCTTCCAGGAAATATAGAAGTGCTGTTAGAGCACTCAGCTGCAAATCAGGCAGGATGATGAGTGCACCAAGTAGTGAAGTGGCACACGGGAAAAAGAAACGTAGTTGTTTGAGGAAATCCTCTGAATCATACTCTGAAGTAGAAAAATTCCACCTAGCCTTTGACCTTACAGCCCTGTAGAGGATACAGGGGAATATGAGTGTCTATATCAGAGGGGAGGGATATTTTGCCAGAAGTGGCACTTCTCCTGTGGCCAGGAAAACCTATGAGGCTAAAGGAGATTGTGGCAGCTGCAGATCAGCTCTCCCACTGAGTGGTGCCACAGGTTTTGTGGCAGGGAGTGGTCACCTTTGAGGCCATGAGCTTGACTCTTCCATTTCCACTGAAGGAATAGATCCCTGAGGAGATCACCAGAGCAGTGACAACTGAGTGGGAGATTCAGGGAAGCAGCTGCTGAGCAATTGGGCTCATTTCAGTATGATATTGTACATGTATTCTAAGACTGGGACTGCATTTCTCATTCAGAAGAGAGAAAAAAAGAGTGTTTTTCTACATATTGTAGAATGTAGAATTGTATTATTTCTACATATTTTCTACATATTGTCCTCCCCAGATACACCTTTGTATAACGAAAGCAATATGGAAAACCTGTTTCAGGTGACAGCTGAAGATACAGTGAAGTTTGGGTAGATTTGAGCACTTCCTGAGTGTTTGTTCAGCAACTGTGTTTACTGTGAACAACTTCAATTTATATAGAATGTCCATATTTAGCTGCACACCTGTATTCTATCTAATAAAACTATTTCCTCTCTGATAATTTCATACCAGTGCATGTGATGTGTCTTGAAAATATCAGTTTTCAAGAGCAGAGTTTTGCTTCCTGACATGAAAAGTAGCCAATTATTTTTTTAAA